TTTTTTTTCTTTTTTTTTTTTTTTTTTTTTTGTAGTGGCGACTGAACTTGGGACCTTGCACTTGTGAGGCAGGTGGTAGCACCGCTGAGCTAAATACCCAGCCCAAGATATATCACATTTCAAGACATTAAAAAAATAAATGAACTAACAGCAAAAGAACATGAATTTTTGGCTGTTTTCCCAACAGGGGTTAAGGGTGTGTGTTGAGTAATCAATCAGTAATGTCTCCATCATGACAATGGCATGGACTTGTGAGATACCTCTGGAATAATTGCTCTGTTACTGTAAAAAGTTTGCTCAGTTAAACTCAGAATCTCAGCTTCATTCATATTACACTATTTACTTTGTCTTAAGAACTTAGAATACATTTTTTTCCTCAGCAACAGCATATTATATTCTGGAATAAAATTTCAAAGTTCTTTCATTTTACAAAGATAATGCTATTATTTACATTCAGTGAAACTACATATCTTATATTTGAACTAAAAGGACAAACATCCTAATACAGGGCCAGAACATGTAGTCAGTAAAAAGAAGATTTTTGTTGATACTAGTATCCCAATATTTATCTCCTTAAACATTTGTCACTTCCTTGTGCTAAACATATTCAAAATCCTTTCTTTTAGCATTTCAAAATATATAGTACTTTATTATTACCTGAAGTCACTCTACTGTACAATAACACATCTGACTTCTAATTACTATCTAACTGTAACTTAGGACCCACTGACAAACTTTCCTTTTCCCTCCCTTTCTCCTACTCTCCCAAGCTTCTGGTAATCACTGCTCTACTTTCAACTTCTATGTAATGATTTTTTTTTAAGCTTTTACATGAGTGAGATCATGTGGTACTTTTCTTCCTGCATCTGATTTATTTCACTTACTATGTTGAGGTCCAGTTCCATCTATGCTGTTGCAAATGACAGGATTTCATCTTTTTATGGCTGAATGGTATTCCTCCATGTGTATTACATTTTCTTAACCTATTTATCAGGTGTTGGATACGTGCTTCTATTTCTTGGCTACTATGAATAATGCTACATTAAACATGGGCATGCAGAAGTGTTTCTGACATGGTAAATTCATTTTCTTTAGATATATACCCAGTAACGAGATTGTGGATTCATATGGTAGTTCTATTTTAATTTTTTGAGGAACTTTTATACTATTTTTCATAATGGTTGTACTAATTTATATTTCAAGCAACAGTATGAAGGATTCCCTTTTTTCCGTATCGCTACCCGTGCTTGCTATCTTTTGTCTTTTTGGTCACAGCTATTCTAATCTGAGAAAGGTAGTACTGATTTGCATTTTGTTCTGTCCAATTATATTATCTAGTTTGACAGAACTTTGTAGTTTTTACTTGCATCTACCTGATGATTAATGATAATCGAACACTGTTTCCTATACTTACTAGTCATTTGTATGTTTTCTTTTGAGAAATATCTGCAGTATTTATATCTATTGCCAATTTGAATTGTTTGGATATTTTTCTATTGAATTATTTGAGTACCTTATAATTCTGGAATCAACTGTCAGATGTACAGTTTGCAAATATTTTCTTTTATTCTACAGGTTGTCTCTTACTCTTTCCTTTCTCATACAAAGGCTTTTTAGTTTGATGTAATCCTATGTATCTACTTTTGCTTTTGTTTGTACTACTTTAGGGAACCTTTAAAAAACAAAAATAAAATAGTAATCTCACACAAAATCGGTAATGCAGGATGTCCACATGAAGTGATGGGGCTTACTAGGTCAGCATGAAGTGATAAGAATACATCATAACTGCAAAACAAAACAGGGGAAGCCCAGTACCCAGTGCTGAGGGGAAGTGACAGCAGAAACTGCCCTTCTTGATTGTTTTTCAACGGCAGAGGGTTACAATGCTCTTGCTTTACTAAAGAGAGTTCTCAGATACGAAGTAACTGAAGATGAGCAACAGCTCAACCACACTTGCCAAGGAAGCTTTTCATTAGATTGTCCCAGAATGTGTATGCCCAGCACAGCCATCCTCAGTGACTAATACTGCAAAATGTGTGCACTGTTCCAGGCTCATTTTTGAAATGAAGGACTCCTAATAATTTCCTGAAAAAAATTGTTATGGCATCACTTAAAGAGTTTGCCAAATATTTTGATATACTTTATGACAATGAAAGGCAAGGATCACCTGTCATTTCTTCTAAAAAGTTGTACTTTTCTCTGAGCAGGCTTACAAGGTACACGACTGTTCTTTCCTCCAGATAACTTTCCTAGCATGCACAGACTCCACTGCTTTGACCAGTGTTCCAACATCACCTGTGTGTGGTGTCTTTTACTCAGATAATACAATTCTAACACAATTAAAAGCAACCAAATTGCTCCCAAAAGCCACTGTTTTAATTGTGACAGCAGTTCTATGGATTCTCAGGTTTGAAGAATCAAATTTCAAACAGTAAAAATAGCTAAAACTGGACTCAGGTCACAAGACACAGAGATTCCTTAATGGAACCTGGCAGGCACAAGCACTTGTGAGGTTCAGGATACTGCCAGATGTTCTGTGACTCACAAAAGCTCATTGGTCTCAGGGATGAATTCATCCTACCTTTCTTGATTCTGGCATGTTTGCCTTCTTTGAACTCTCCTTGGAAAGAAACACTGAAGGATGTGACAAGTGGTGGCAATATGGAGATGACAGGGAACACTTGCTCAGAGAGGTTGCTGCCAGGAGAAAACCATAAGGCAGAAGAACTGCTTGGCTGGTGGAGCAGGTCTCTCAAACAATAGTAAAGTCTGAGCACTTCTGGATATACTATGAATATGCAGCACTTCTCAGAAAACAGGGTTTTGTGGGGGGCCCTGGGAATAAGACAGTATGTTGGAGCATTTTGGACTCACACTGAGGCTGGATTCTAGCTTTGCTATTCATGAACCTCCTTAGGCAAGTTACGGAATCGAATCTCTGGGACCTGAATCTTTCTCTTCTATTAGCATAACACCTTCACAGTAAGGATCCTACGGAGACTGAGAGGAACAATAAAGGAAAAAAGCCAAGCACTTAGTTGGCACATGTTGTACCTCCCCTTTCCTTTCTTCTTCTGAGTAATGATTTAAAGTGCTCTTCCCATCTTAAATCTGAAGACATGTCTCATCCCATCACGGGCCTTTTTAGGGAAAAGAATCCTATCTTTTGATTAAAGGAAGAGTTACACCATGGTAGAAACCCTCGGGGAACCTAAAGAAAACTGTCCACTTCTCAGAAAACCATGCAGTTTCCATCTTTAGGCCTGAAACTGTTTTTAAGACTATATGGCTACTGCTTCAAGACAGGTGGGCTCCGTATTAGGGAGCTCTGAGGGAGTAGCAGAACAAAATGTTGTAGACTATAGTAACACATGATGACAGGTGCTATGTGCAACAGGGGTATTATAAGCACTTTTCATGTACATTTGCATTGATCTTCACAGTGATCCTCTGAGGTAGGGGAACTGTTGTCTCTGTATTACAGCTGAGGAAACATAGGCATGGGAAAGTGAAGTATCTCCCACTCAAAAGTAATGGAGTAAGATTTTTGGACTATGTTGTCTGACTTCAAAGCTCCTGCTCATCCACTCTCAAAGTGACATGAATTTCTCATGGTCATGGAGATTTCCATACTTGCAGCTCTCCTTCAAGAAGGTGTTGCTGCCTATTTTTCTCATCCCAGAGAGATGTGCTTTATCAGAGTCAGTCAATATTGTTATGTTTACCTACTAAATAAATACACACAAAAAAGAATGTTCTAAAAAAATGTTCTGTTTTCACACAGAGATAGATTTTTCTTCTGTGATAACATCTTACAGAAACTCTCAGCCAGGTAATACTCTCTGGCAATAGCATCTTCATTTGTAGCAATTTTATGTCACTTTACTGGTCTATAGCTTTCAAACTTGGGAAACTTGGTTAAGCAACAGGTAGGAGACATGAGGATAAGAATCCTGTCTTTTGAAAATGTATAGCAAGATACTTACAGGGAAATCATTCTGGGAGAGTTAAGAGTCAAAAAATGCCTCTCATCCCTTGAGGTCTCAATCATAATTCATCCCCTGAGGTTCTCATCATAGTTCAGTCAAATTCACAAGTGAGAATTGTATGCCCTGATAAGTGTTCCTAAGCACATGAGGAAGGGCAGGCAGCCCACCCACACACTCAAGGGAGAGCTGTATCACAAGCTAGGACAATCCAAGGACCATTACTAGAAAGCATGGCTCAGCAGGGTGTCCTTGGAGCAATTGTTTTCCTCAGTGCAGAGATAAATTGTATCAGAAAGGAAGAGTAGAAGATGACAACAGGTGGCCATACTAATTGAAACTGATAGAAGTGAGTGTTAAAAACTCTTTACTCAGTGAGTAGGTTGTGAGAAATAATCATGTGGAGCTTTCAGTGAGGGAAGTATAGAGATCACAGTACAGGGAAAATACCTTCTAAAAGGGAACAAAAAAGTCATATGGTAGAAGCACTTCAGAGGATCCAAATTTAACATGTAATCACAACACTGGGAAAAAAAAATGATTCACAGATCTCTTATAGCTTGGAGAGTTCTCACAGCAGCAGCCAGGCTGAAGAGAAGGAGGCATGATCCCACATTCTTACTTTCTATCAAGTGACTCAAGACTGAATGAAAGGCAAAGTTCTAATTTTATTTATTTTTCTTCTACTTTGTTCACACAAATTTCAGGAATACTTATGCTATAGAACACTGGTGTACTCTAGTAGTCTTTCATTGCAAGAGGCTTGCCATCTACTCACCTGAGCCCCTCGATCATTAACCAGTTCCACAGACCACCTGCCTTCATACTGAATCCACACAAATATTCCTCCATCTGCATCACATGTGGCCAGTTTCTGGTATGGTTCATTCCACCTCACTAGCACAACCTGGAAAACCACAGGGTGAGGGTTATTTCCTCAAAGTGTTCAGACTCTGTAACAAACAGAATGAAGTTAGTCACAGAAAAAGGCTCAGGGAGAACGTAGGAATTTGTGAAGAGGTGGATCCAGACACACCTGATATGGCTTCCTGGCAAATAACAGACACCGGAGCAAAGACAAAGCAGGATAACTATGGCCATTGCTACAAAAAGAGGCCCATTCTGAATCCCGTAAAGTACCTGCTTCTCAGAGGGATGCAACAATCCCTCATCTGCCAGTCCTGTGTTGTAGAGAAATAATTTTCACACAATTGTTTTCAAATGATGGTATCACTTATTCAGTACTGAAAAAAGAAAAGGTTCTTATTCCATTTTCTGCCAAAAGTGAACATTTCTGTATCTTTCCTGGAATACCTCTGAAGTCTGGCATCTAAACATAGGAAATGTGGAAAAGGTGAGGAAGGGCTGAGATGTTTAAGATTTACAACACAGGAGATCTGAAGAAGAGATAAGATTCAAATTTTGTAACAGAATTAGTAAATTTAGAAAATTTTGAATCTGGACAAATTATTTTCATATTTCCACTTATCTAAAAAGGTATAAAGTCTGGCACAGTTTGTGACACTAAGTAAATGCTAAGGAGTTAAGATCAGCCCTCACAAAGCCCAGTAAAATCTACAAGGAAATGAAGGTCTGGATTGGTCCTGGGAGTCCATGAGCCACAAAACCAGTACAGTGGATGGTGATGAGTATTCCCTGAGGCTGTTCCTGGCTGGCCTATCCTGATGACAATGGATGGACTGATTTAGTTGAACATCGGGCACACATTTGCTTCACAGATGTTATGTGGCTGATATTGAGCTGGATGACATGAACCACCCCTAGCACTCCCAGTAAGTTAAAGCCAAGCTGGGAAGCCAGAATATCTATGAACAAATGTGCACCACTGACATGTCTTGGTGAAAAAGGACTATCCTCAAAGAACAGGAACACTTCTACTATTCACTAAGATGTGAGCACTACTCTCAGCACTCTGTGCCTAATAAACTCATAACTATTGTGAACATGTAATGCTAGCATAGTTTCCAAATTCTAACAAGATTCTGAAATAGAAAGTGAGCCTTAGGACAGATGGTCAAGGACCCCCACAATTATACCTGTTCTCCAGCTTATACCCATTTGTCCAAAGCATACTTCCTGCTTTCAGACCAATTTCTTAAAATTCTGTAACTGAAGGCCAAGGATTTTAGTTCAGTGTTTCTACTGCCTGCCTCTCAAGCATAAGGTACAGAGTTTGACCCGCAGTACCAAAAATATCTGTAACTGATACATTGTTTTACCACACTTGGTCATATCAGCACTTACAAGTTGTATAATAAAATCTTCAAATTTTTAAAGAAGAAAAAAGTACTGTATCTTTTTAAAAATTCAGCAAAATCAAAGGAAATTGTGGCTGATGTGTTACCACTCTAGTCAACTTGGCAAGGATGAGAACACAAAAAACTCCCCAGGTAGCCCCACCTATGGACAGGTCCATGTGAAAAGCTCCTTCCTTGCACTGGCCCAATTCTGCAACTGCAGCACTGCCATAATCTATTTCAGTTACCAGCCTGTAAATGCAGATCTGTGCTGTGGAGGAAAGGGATGGGATGTGTTCATCTTCAAGTACAGGTACAGCAATTTTGGGTATACTTTGTCAAATGATTAATACAGAATTGGAAGTTACGATCCTTGCTAACTTGTATCTCTGAACTATAAAAGGTATTAAAAACCTTTTCAAGCAGGTTGTTTTAAATTCTCAAAACCATTTTAATGACAGCAAATACTACCTGTCTTCCCAAGATAAACCAGATACTGTTAGGTGTTAAGGACAGAAATGAGGGAAATTTTGACTGCAAGGAGTTCAGTTTACTAGACAGACAGAGCACTCTGTGTGCAATTAGAGAGTTGTGAACATACACAGGGGTCCAACATAAGATAAGGAAATAATAAATCAAGTACAATTTAAAAACACTATTCATAAAAACTGATTTAATCTTTTTGTTTTGTACCAAGGATTGAACTCAGGACCTTGCACTTGCAAGGCAGGCGGCGGTACCACTGATCTAAATCCCCAGCCCCGATTTAATCTTATTTTTAAAAATTGAGTCAATAATAATGGAAACCTCTAAATGACACTGAATGTGTTATAAAATTTAGACTTTCCAAACACTGAGTAAAAGTCAATTTAGTAAACTTCTTTCAGATCCAGCTGTGATTTGACTCCCAAACACTATCATCCACAAATGTGCACGCAGCTACAGTTTGCTTTCGACAAACATTAATCACCAAAGCTCACAGTAATTAATGTACTTCCAAATAGCTAATATAAAATGAAATATAAAAATAAGAATACTATATTTAAGACTGACCTGTTCTGAAATTACAATTTTCTTAGGTTAACACAGTGAACATGTGTCCACCGTGAATCTCAGTAACAGCACTGATAACACAGTATCCTATTTCAGAGGACAAAAGTTAGTTCACATTATATGTTTTGCCTTTAATATCCATTGCCACATATAGCTGCACATTTAACATCAACAAAAACCCTCTTGTTCATGAAAATAGCCTGCACAGTTATAGCATGACACAAACACAAAAGAGCAGAAGCAAAAAATTTTTTAGATTTATTTTTAACATTAAAGATTTCTTGGTATTGTACAATACAGTTGCTGTTGTTGGGTAAATGATACGTTCAGACTCAATTTCATCCTTCCGTAATTCTTAATCAGTTGAGATGCAGCAGTTACTGGAAATGTGGTCCCTACTCACATACTTCTTCACTGTGAATTCTAACTGGATTAACTGAGTAGGGGTAGTTTCCCTAAATTAGAGAAAGACGTATTTTCAATAATTCTTGGTTTAAAAATGAAGTGAAATTGCTAATGTTGCTTCCTTGGACTAGTGTTCATTCTCATTTCCTCCCTTGTCTACAGTTCACAGCTGCCGCCTTATCTCCCAGCAGCTTATTTCCTGTTCTCTAAATCCTTCCAGCCTATTTGGCAATGCTAGTACATACCCAAGTGTTGAGGAATTACCAGCCAGGGGGCCAGCTGGATTCTTAGTTGCCTGAATTACTTGGCAGAATGCTTTGGATCTACCAAGGCATCCTAAGGCACAGCTTTCCTACCTTTTTAGAAAAAAATGGGATTCTTGTTTAGTCTGGGTCTCAAAGAACTTCTGTATATGGGGTGTTAGCTGAATTATGTGCTCTTCTACTAAAAGGGATAGAAGATGAGCTAAAGTGATGCATGCCTTTGATTATTAAAAAAATAGCAGCTTATCACCACTATCATTTTTAGAGTGTTACTGTTATCAACAAACATTCATTGAGAGCTATTAAAAATAGGGAAATCTACAATAAAAACAGGCAGGACCACTTAAAGCCTATCTGGGTTATAACCTAAGGTCTCAGGTAAATCACTCACTTCCTGCATCTAGAGCCACATTTAGGGAGAACAAGTGTCAATTGCTTTTAGTTTGCTTGTTTTCTTTTATTTTTTTGAGACAAGGTCTTGTTATGTAGTTCAGGGCTGGCCTTGTACTATGTAGCTTAGGTGGCCTCAAATTCACAGCAATCCTCCTACTTCAGCCTCCCAAGAGCTGGGATTACAGATGTGCACCACCACATCTGGTAAACTGGCTCATATTAAGGATATTCCTGGTAGTGCCCTCTCTTCTACAGTAGTCCATTCTCACACCACAGAATGTACTTTTCCCCTATTTTTACTTGGCCCAAACGCATTCTTTTTTTTTTGGTACCAGGGATCAAACTCGGATCCTTGTGCTTACAAGACAGGCAGCGAAACCACTGAGCTAAATCCTCAGCCCTGGCCCAAACTTATTCTGAAGAGCATGTTTCTTTCTCTACCTTTAATAAATATAAAACCTTGCTGCATTTTGTGCTTAACCAATTCTTTGTTTAGGACAATAAGAACACAGAAAACACCTCTATAAGGAGACTCCAGCATCCCCAAATCTGGCAACACTGAGCTAGTCAGGAACAGGTAACATTGTTTGAGCACAGTCTCTCTCTAAAATTTATGGCCAAGAAGATCTGGTTTAGTTTGACCCCACTTCTTCCTCTAAAGCTCCAATCCCCTTTTTAGTTCTCTCTCCCCAGGACAATCTTTCATTCTTTGGAAGCTTCAAATCCTTTTTGGTTATTGGGGAAAGACAGAAAACTAAAGGGTGGTAAAAATTAATGGTACGTAGGCAACTTATGAAGTTTTCTTACGGCACTGAGAACAGTTTTCTAGTGTGTCCCACCATGTTGGAAGAAGGAGGAGAAGTACATGGCTTCTGTGTTTTTCCCAGCTGGTAAAAGAACCATTAGTCTACCTCACGTTTATTCCTCTTTTCTTTCTTGTTTTTGGTCATTCACTGTGGATACAAGTCAGTCAATAGTTGTCAGAGAGTCTGTTAATACTCCAGTTGCAAAAGAGATCATTCAGGTTCTATACGTATGACCTAAAGATAGTACTATGTCTTTTTGCCTTCACATTTCTGTTCTCCATCATACTCTGCTGAACTTTCTCTCACTTTTGAGAAAAATTCCTATTGGTAACTTGGTCTCCTGCTTGAGTTTACCCCTTTATGTACTCTTAAGTGTCATTTGTACTTTTCTCCTAGATGGCCTTTTATCTCTGAGTATCCTTAGTGGGTTGCTTTCTCAGAACCTTTTTTCATCCCCTTTCATGAACTGGTCACATGATTCCTCCATGTTTATTGGTCAGTTGGGTTGGTCACATGGTTGTACAACATTTGTTTGCCTTTTTCTTTTTTCAACTGACCTCATGGACACCAGGAAGTCTTACCCTTGTAGATAGGCACAAGATGCCAATTTCAGGGAAGACATGGGTCTCCTCCCCTCTTCTCTTCTGAATCAGGTTAGATCACTTCCCTGTTTCTTTTTCTAACAGAAATTCAGGTAATTTAGAAATATGTGCCTGATGGCCTGAATAG